AATCTCCAGTTGTCAGTGTCTTCTTCTTCTTCTTCTTCTTCTTCTTCTTCTTCTTCTTCTTCTTCTTCTTCTTCTTCTTCTTCTTCTTCTCCTTCTCCTTCTCCTTCTCCTTCTCCTTCTTCTTCTTCTTCTTCTTCTTCTTCTTCTTCTTCTCCTTCTTTCTCCTCCTTCTTCTTCTCCTTCTTCTTCTTCCTCCTCCTCATCTTCCTCCTCCTTCTTGTCCTCCTTCTTCTTCTTTTGAGGAGTCAGGGACTTTCACTAACTTGCCCAGAAAGACTCAAATTTGAAGTCCTTCTGCCTCAGTGTCCCAGAGTGCTGGCATTATAGGCTGCATCCCCACAACTGGCAAGATACCCTATTTTTTAACATCATGACAAACTGAACAATTTTCTAAAAACATAATTGCCAAAAGTTAATCAAAAACAAGTAAGGAGGGGACACAGTGAAAGACACTTTAAGGTTACCAAGTTAGATTTTTAAAAATACAGCTGGAGTCCTAGATCCAATATACCTGAGGCAGGAGGGTCATTTGAACTCAGAAGTTTAAAATCAGGCTGAGCAACACAGTGAGAACCTGGAAAGAAAGAGAGAGAAAGAGAGAGAGAGACAGAGAGAGAGAGAAAGGAAGGAAGAAAGAAAGAGAAAAGGAAGGAAGGAAGGAAGGAAGAGAGAGAGAGAGAGAGAGAGAGAGAGAGAGAGAGAGAGAGAGAGAGAGAGAAAGGGGAAAAATTAAGGCAGCTCACGGAAGCACGATGCTGCCTATCATCAAAGTGAGCCGGTTGCTGAGGAGCAGCTCATGCGACAGATCAGGACCTCAGCTTTGTGCTAGAAAAGTTTGAAACCCATAAGAGGTACCCAAACAGAAATATGAAAATTAAAACCAACAATCCACAAAGGCATTTGCCTGGCATTTAGCAAATATTTGTTACATGGTCTCTTTAACTTTGGCAACCACCTTTCCTGTGGAAATAATAATGTTGTCCCTGTGACATACACAAAAATGTTAAACTAGCAAGGATGATAAGATATTTCCTCAATAGGTACAAATTGCCTTTTAATTGGGCTATTCAGTGGTGCAGAGTGAAACTGTCAGCTACGTTCCTATTTTTGTTTCAGCATCTCACATTTTAGGGGATTTCCAATTTGAAAGTCATCCCTAGTTGCTTCCCATACTTGCTCATCACGGTATATATCTCTTGCACACACTTGGAAGAAATGGCGATCTAGGTTTTTGTTTTGGGAACTGGGCATCGAACCTGCAGCCTCATGCCAAGCTTCCTCCTCGGCCCTCTTTATGTTTCATTTTGAAACAGGGTCTTGCTAAATTGTTAGGGTTGGCCTCCAGTTTCTGATCTGCTTCCTCAGCCCCCAAAATGGCTGGGCCTACAGGTTACACCACCATTTCTGGTTGTCTTCTAGTTTGTGATGTCAGTGTTCATATATATGTTTCTTAACATTCAAAAAGTGAATGTTAAAAAGTTTGACCGGTATAAAGTGATCCAGAAGAGTAAAGAGCTCATCTCCTGCATGCACCAGGCTCTTTCCTCAGATACAACCCTGGCACCAGTTTCCTGTGTGGCGCAACAGAGTTGGTCCCTGAGTATGCAAAAATACACACACTTAAAACTATACATGACACAGCTTTTTCTATTTTGAATTTAATAATGAACTTTGGAGCTCTTTCCATGTCAGTTTTTTTAAGAGGCTTTTTTCATATGGGTGTGTCAGAATTTATTTCCTGCCAATGGAAAGACCTTTTGGTGTTGACCAAAGCCCAAATATTAATGGATATTTGTCTTTTTCCCAGTTTTTGCACTAGCAAGAGAGCAGTCAGTATTCTTGTCTTTGTATAAAGGGATCCTGACTACCTACAGCTGAATCCCAGCGACCTAGAGCAACCTGCTTAGCCTCAGTCTTTTCTATTGAAAATATTGACTGACCTTGAAGATTTGTTGTAAACAGTCAATGAGATGGCACATGACCGCATGTAACATAGCGCACATGCACAGCAGGTGACCACTGTAGCACCTGTGTCCCGAGGACATGTATGTCCTTTCAGCTTGAAATAGATGTAAGTCACTAATATCTTTTTTTTTTTTTTGCTATACATACATGGACATCCTGCAGTTATAGTTGTGTAAATGCTAAGTAAAAGGGTGTGTGTACTTTTAATTTTGTACATATGGCCAAGTTTTCTCTCTGACTCAGTTTGGATTCTCCCATAAACAAACCCTGAGACAAACACAGCTAGTTTATTTGGGAGGTGAAACAAGCGAACACCAACAGGAGATGAGAAATTGAGGCAGAAAAGGTGGGGGGCCCCAGGAAGGCACGCTGTCAAGCAAGCAAGGGCGGTGGCATCCTCAGCTTTACCCCTGGGGAAGCCTGGGAGCTGCTCTCCGGGGATGGAGGGAGCTGGGCATTTGACCATCAGCTCCCATCAGTCATTGACTTAAGAGGTATTAATTCTTTGTCCTGAGCAAAGTTGCTTATGCTAATAGTTAGTTTGGAAGCCTTTTCAGTGTTGCTTTTTCTGAACAAACTTTTGATATAATTGCCTTCAGTCTGTGTGTGAGTCTTGGTGTGTGTGTGTGTGTGTGTGTGTGTGTGTGTGTGTGTGTGTGTGTGTGTAGTGTGCTGGGGACTGTATCCAGGGCCTTGAACATGCTAATTATCCACTCTGTCACTCAGCTGCAGCCCCACCCCCAGCCCTAGCCCCCAGGATTTTTTTTATCCATTTCTAATTTAAAATGTTTTATGGTGAAGTATTTAAAGCAAAAAAACATGTGCCACATCTACTTTTCTCTCTAAGCGACTGTCAATGCAATCAAGTTCCCTAGAGCGTCCTGTTGTAAATTCATGTGGCATCGCCTTTAATCTACGTGTTAACTTGGAGGGGTTTTCTTCTTTGACTTGTATGGTCACAACAGATCTGTCTTAGTCAGTTCAGGTTGCTGTTACAGAACAAGTACTACAGGCTGGACGGCTTAAGCAGCAGAATTTTATTTTCATAAGTCTGGAGGCTGGGGAAGCCCCAGGTCAAGAGCCTGCACATCTGGTGTCGGGGGAGGTCTCAGTTCCTGGTTTACAAACAGCGCCTCCTCCTTATGTCCTCATGTATGGGCGAGTGGGGAAAAAGGATGGGAGGTGGCGGGGGGAGAGAGATGGAGAGATTTTGTGTCTTTATAAGCACACAGATCCCACCTATCTCCAGATCCCGCTGCACTCACCTGGGCTTCATCCCCTGCCCCTGAGAGGCCTGAAGCTTGAGTCCACAGTGAGGTTTGATGCCTGCTGGCTCATGCTCAGGCTTCTCTTCTTCTGTTAGAACTTGACAGTATTTTTTTTTACATGTATCATTAGTACCTCAGGACCTCTTCAGCAAGACCCTTTTTTTCTTTCCATACTTCTAGTTAGAATACTCATCTATCTACTTAGAATGTGTGACATTTGTGTGGGCTTCCTTAAGGTCTTGGAACTTTCCTACTTACGTTCCTCTGCAGGTAGACGATCAGGACACACACTGGTCTTTGGCTTTTCTTCTTTTCTTCTCTTCCTTTTCTCTTAATCGCTTGTTTTCCTGCCCATTGTGTATTACGTGCAATCACTAAAACCGTGTTGGGTAAGAAAGGAGGTTGGGTTGCCTTCTAATGTGCGTTCTGTAAGGCTGAGATCAATTCCCCTGGGTTTCCTTTTTTTTTTTTTTTTAATTTTATTTAAGGAGAAAAAGGAAAAAAAAGCAGAGAAAGGGTACAAGTTATACAGAATTTCAGAAAAATAATAAACAGTAGGAAATCACTAATTAATGGATTACATATTGTCATCTTAGAAATATTTGTTCAAGTTACAAAATTAAAGCATATATAGTGGACATTCAAACAGTGAGACCAAACAGTTCTGTTCAATGATCCAACAAAACTCAGTAATATCATTGTCTGTCTTATACACTTATATATACATGCAGTTATATCGTTTAGAGCGCTTTCTTTTCCTCTCTTTTGTACAATGACTATTACACATTTTGGGTTTTATTGCTCCCACAGTTCTTATTACTTTTTTTTGGAAGAGAGTAAAACCAAATGTGATAGAACAGAACAGAGTCGGTCAAATCAAAAGGGTGGACATAATAGATAATGTAAAAACATAATACAAGGTGATCAACAATGGTTACCATAATGCCTCCTGCTATCTCTAATGGAATTGCCTATATCATCAGTTACAATAAAATTGAACAAAACAGTAAAGAACGAAACCAACAAAACCAAAACATTGGAGACATTACAGGTCTTCAAAAGTAGGTAATAGTCAACCAGAATGGGCATCATAATGAATCCCACTATCTTCACAGCTGTTGCCTATACTTTCGAACCTGGTACTATCAAGCAAAACAGAATAGAGGAACATCAGTCAAAACAAGATGGTGAGAGCAATACAGGGCTTCAAATCAAGTTAATAGAAAATCTAAATGGGTTACTATAATATATCCTGCTATTTTTTAATTTATTTTTCCCTTAATTAAAAGGATAAAAATAAAAAAGTAAATAATAAAATGGAGATTGAGATAAAAGAGGGCATAACAACAAAACAGCACAGAAAAAAACATAACCATTTAAGCAAAATAGTGTTTTACCACAAGATAATACAGGGTATTTAGAATCATCTAACAGAAAATGAACAATGGTTTCTGTATAATCTCTCAGCCCAGTTCGTTCTTGGGTCAGCAGGGCATATCTCCTCTCTTGCTTAGGATTCCTCACTCCGCACCATTCCTGGATTCTAAGCTGGGTCTTTCAGAGAGCCTCCGTAGCTGCTGCTATCTGTCCGCCATGTTCTCCCCTAAAGCCCCTGGGTTTCCTTTTAAGAAGTATGTTTCTCTGTTTTATTATGGTTATGTTTTTGTTGTTGTTGTTTTGTTATTTTTGCAGTACTGGAGATTGAACCCAGCGCCTTCACACTGAACTTCATGTCTGGCCCTTTTTAAATATTTTATTTTGAAACAGGGTCTCCCTAAGACACTAAGGTGTCCAGGCTGGACTCAAATTTGCACTCATCCTGCCTCAGCCTCCCAGAATGCTGTAATTACAAGGTCTACCATGAACCAAGAACATCTACCATGAACCAAGAAGCCAGGTAAGTGTTTCTTCCTCACCTTCCCCCTCCTGTCCTTTTTCCTCCCATCTACTCCTCATTCCGCTCCTGCTTCCAAGACCACTCCCTACTCAGCACTGCCTCCCGGGGCTGCCCAGACCACGAACCTGCCCTGGGCCCCATGCAGCATGAGAATGAAAATTACATATCGGATACAGAAAGTCAAGAGGGGCCTTCACAAATGGTGAAGTGAAGGCACAGAGAGAGAAGAAACTGGCTTTTAAGGTCATACAATGAATGTATTTGCTGGATTATGCCACAGTAACAAATAGCCCCTAAAGTTCCAGTAGCTCATCCACCAAAAGCTAGCATTTCCTCTTCCTACTTCTTTTCTATCATAAGTGGACTGGGAGCTGTAGTGTACATCATGGTCTCCTGGACTCAAGCTAAAGAAATAGCCATACTCTGGAAAACTCCTGGTTCCTGAAGCATGCCCTGAAAAGAGAGAACATGGTAAATCACACTTTGTCTCTTAAAATATTTGCACAAATATGACCGATGTCACTTTTGAGCCTATGACACTGGCCAAAGTTTACAGTCATGCTCAGTCAAGGGAGTGCGGTAGTATGACCCTATCAAGAGCCCTGCAAGACACGGTAGCTGTGACCAGCCCCAATGTCCTCCTCAGAGAATCAGTAAAAGAGCTGGCTTAGGAACTCTCTTCTGCTTGTGGCCAAGGATCTTTCCCCTGTAATTCTCTGCCCACAAAGGTGTTTCTTGTGGGAGTTACAATGACTTTTTCTCCCATGGACAGTTATCCGTAGAAAGCTTGATGTCAAGAGGTTGGGACACCAGTGGTAGAAACAGAGGCGTGTGTTAGAATGCCTGGAGGAGACCAAACTCGAGGATAAGGAATGCCCCAGAAACCACACCACCCAGGAACCCTTTACTGTGCCCCCTTGGATGGCTTCTTTATGGTGACAGTATGAACTTTGGACACCAGATCCAGAAAACAAGACATGTCCTACACTGTGGCCACATCCTTTTTCCAGGATCACCTGAAGTCTGGGTGCTTGCCCGTGCCTGGCTCCACTTGGGCACCAAGGCCATGGAAATTTGCTGGTCTTAGTTCTTGTCCTGGCTCTGCCATAGCCTTCATGCACATCTCTTCCTCTTTCTTGTCCTGAGTCTTCCCATCTATTCGTGGGGACAGTGAACTACTTGAGAATAGTAGATATGAGCTTAGTTCATGAATTAAAAATCCCTGTATGAGCAAGGAGCTATTAATCTACTAGTTAAATCAGAGAGGTTTAATTCTATTCAGTTCACTGGATGTTGTTTGGGAACCTTATATGTACCCAGCACTAAGAGAACAAGATGATGAGGGACACCAGCATCCTTGGCTACAAAATAGAAACTGAGTCAAGAGCTCTCCAATAGTCTCAGCATGCAAAACGTAGGAACACGTGTACACACACATGCATATTCACCCATTGCAGTTGGAGAGAGGGACCAAAAGGGCCAAGATGCTCTATAGGCCTCTGATGGGATGGAGGGCAGAGCCAGGATCGAAGCCCTAGGGCAGATAGTGGAAGTTGGAAAGGCTGGCTCCTTCATAAGCCTCCAGTTCCTTCAATTAGAGGTAGACTCTGGAATTGCAAGGATTAGAGAAGACATACAAAACACTTACAGCCATGCCTAGCATGCACTTCATTGTGTATGCTGCTATTATTAAGGAAATAGTACCAGAAAGTCTGTATGGCAATGTTGCAGCATATTCCAGTTTACAAGAACTATGATTTATTTAGCCAATCTGCAATTGTTGGATGTTCATATTGCATCCAATTTTTTTTTGTCTTTTTCCTTTTTATCGGTACTGGGGATCAAACTCACGACTGTCTGCTTGCAAGGCAGGTGCTTATGCCGCTGAACTAAAACCCCAGCCCCCAATTGCATCCAATTTTTAACCATTATAAATAACCTTGCCATGAACATCTTCATAATCAAAAATTATGTGTACATCCATGACTGTTTCCTGAGGTTAGAGTCTTAGAAATGCAACTGCTGGACCAAAGGAAGTGCATAATGCTTGGGCTTTTGCCATGCAAATGCCCTTTGCCCTCTATCTACTCCAACTGGCAGGTTGTTTGAAAGTTCCAGTTTAAAAGGGGAGGATTAGTTTAGAAAAGAGACGGTTTATATCAGTTGAGATTAGGTTCACCATGAGATCCACAGAGCCTTAAACAGCAGGGGTTTAAAGAGAATAGAAGTGCGTTTTTCTGCCATGTAATAGAGGTTCAAAGAAGAGAGTCTGGGAAAAGAGGATGACTCTCTCCTACACCTCAGCACTGCCCAAAATTTAGCCACTCTACTGATATTTCAACCAACAGGAAGAAATAGAATAAAATAAAATACAGATGCCACTTCCTTCAGCCAAAATTTAATTGTACAAGTGTATCTAACTATGAGAGAAGCTGGAAAATCAGGTGTATTCTAGGTGACCAAGGGATATCAGAGGTTGTAGTACTGCAGAAGAGGACAAATTAGGGCAGGTCAGTGGGAGCCTGTGCCATGAAATAAGCTCAGACTGAGTGGCACAAACAATCCATGGAAACAAGACTCCATCCTCAGGAGACCATGCACAGGGGATGCACTAGAGCCTTCCAGAGAGCAGGGGCCAGGTAGCAATGGCAGAGGCGTCAGGACCCCATACAGACGACATTTACTGCCTGTCTTCTGCTGCTCAGTGTTGGGGCAGGTTCTTGACTGTACCTCAACTCATTGTTCCTTCAGCTCAGCTGTCTGTGAGCTCACCTGTCCCCTAGCAGGTCTCCCTTCACCTCACCTGCCTGCCCTATCTCTGCAGGGCAGCTCCTCATGGACCCAGACAGCCTCCATCTGGGCAACAAGAACCTGTGTGGCTGGCTTGTGCGGCTGCTCAGCACAAAGCAGGAATGGCTAAGAGCCAAGATGAAGTTCTTCCTACCTGACGTGGATCTGGCCTCCAGCGATGAGGTGCCGGACCTTGAGCAGAGGGTCATCCTGCGGCTGAGAGAGCTGCAGGCCCAAGGACCAACTATCTGGCAGTCATTCATCCACTGCGTGTGCATGGAGCTAGAGGTGCCTCTGGATGTGGAGGTGCCACTGCTGAGCACTTGGGGCCAGGATGATGGTAAGGGCAAGGAGAAGGGAGCAAAGCAACCAACACAGCCCCTGTGACACTGAGCTGGTGGGATGGTGGGAGACCCAGGGCCCACACATCACACCAAGAGGGCACAACAAAGCCAGAAACAAAAGTTCCTATTTCTGGGCACTTCCCAGTGCAAATTCCCCAGTGCTACAAAACCAAGTGGTGCCTGGAGACTCTCCTGCTGCCTGTCCCATTGCTCTGGGAGCCCAGAGGCAAAAAAGAAAAACTGATGTGACTTCTTCCAGCCAGAAAAACCAAGCAGCTGGTGATGCACGAGAGGCTTCTTCTTGCAACACACTCAAAAGCAATGACAGAGAGGGACCTCTGACCTCTAATGAGAGGCAGCAGGTTTAACTCTGTGCAGTTCAGGGGCATTGCTTGTACACCTTCTGTTTGCCCAGCACTGTGGGAAACGCAGGACATTTAGAGGCATCCTTGATAGCAAGTAGGAACTTAGTCAAGAGCTCTACTGTGACCAAGTGTGAGAAAAGCAGGCATGATATGCAGGCACTTGCAAACACAATGGAATGTGTGTAAACACATATTCACACTCATGCAAGTGTGCAAGCATGCATAAATATACACATGCACATCCATAGATACACAATCAACTCTTCCCCAACAGCTAGCTAGCAAGTAACTATTTCTCCCTTGAGGGCACTCTCCCTGAGCTCGGGGCCTGAGCAGACACCAGGCCAGAGCTGCCGAAGAGTCACGCCACATTCCCACACATGTCCTGTTACATCTTCTCTTGCAGAGTTTGCAAGGCTGCTGGAAACCGGAGATGAGAGTCAGTCTGGATCTCAGCTCCACCATGGTGAGGCCCGGGGCTAAGGAATGGGAAAAAATGATGGACACTGCTAAGTTCCCGTACCCTCACCTCCGGTACTGTGCATTGAGCCCAAGGCCTTTGCACTAAGCTACATCCCAAGCCCTTACTTGTATTTTGAGAAAGGGTCTCTTTAAATTTCCCAGGCTGGGTTTAAATCCTCCAGCCTCAGCCTCCCAGAGTGCTGGAATTAACAGTGTGCACCACCACACCTGGCTTCCCGTCATAACCTGGAGGAGGCTGGTGGTGGATGGTGACAGCCATTTCCTCCTCTGCACATGGACCTGCCTGCTCCTGGTGTGTGATCAGGGCACAGTACCCTGCCTGTTCCTAAGGATCTAACTGCCACCCTCAGGAGAGTCTACAGTGTCAACCCTGGGTTGTCTCCGAATGCCCTGGCTGGCTGCACCCCAGGAAGCCTGCCCTCAGTTCCTACCCCTAGCCTGGTCTTCCAGTGCCCCAGTCAGGCTCTACTAAGAAGGCCTTTACTCTGCTCCCCATCAGAGTAAAGCGCCTCTGCTCTCCATCCCTGGGAGCCACTGGTTATTTTCTGATAGAGCTCGGAGGGGTCAGTGATCGGTTGGCAGCTAACTGACTGTCAGCCTCCTCCCAATCTCAGTACCACTGGGTTCAGCAGTCATGCCCCAGGGAACCTCAGCTCCCCCAAACTTCAGACTGTGTGTCCGGGTTCCTGGTTCCCTCCAACCCTTTCACTGAGCTGGTAATTGCCATGTAGCCGTGACTGAGGCTGACTGAAACTCAATGGTGAGTCTCTGGAAAATATGGGACTTGTTAAAATATTCTCAGACAGGTTCCAGCCTCTCCCCACATTTTGCAAACAGGGCCCTAACTCTATGTGCTCTGATTGGACCTTGCAGCTGGCTTAGGAGACACTATTTCCTTTCTTTCTCAGGGGAGGTGTAACTGGGACCCAGGATCTTTGCACTGAGCTACTTTCCCATCTCTTTATTATCATTTTTTTTGAAATAGTGCCTCACTAAGTGCACATCCTGCCTCAGCCACCCAGAGTTATAGGCACTTCCCTTCTTAAAATTTTCTCCAGTCCTCCTTCCTTTCTTGTTGCCGGCATTCCTCTCTCTTATTTTCCTTCTGCCTTTTCTAGAAAGGCATTAAAGAGATTCCAAAAATCTGTGCAACTACACAGGACTCGTGACACTACTCAGGTCACTGACATTACTCAGGACACTGAGAAATGGGGTCGACACAGACCTGACTCAGGAGGTGGATTGCAGGTCTGGCCAAGCCTTAGAAGTGACCTCCACAGACCTTGGTTCTTCCTGGGTGGAGAGACAGCTGCATAGTCCTGAGTATTTCCAGGGTTGTGGGCCGCAGGCTTGCTATCTGCACCCAGGTCGGAAGATGCCTGGGCTCAGAGCTTCTGTCCCTGAAAACCTCTCCAAAGCAGGCGCTGGTGTAGATGCAGCCTTTGCCTGCTACCTGCCTTCTCACAGCTCTGGAATGCAGACACACAGACACATGTGTCTGCCAGCTCCTGTTTGTGGAATGGAGCACCCCGAGGTGCTGCCCAGAGCTCCCAGTTAACACTTCCCTTTCCTTCACTCTTTCCAGGCCTCAAGCGTCCCTGTCAGAGCTGTGAGTCCTCGCCCCGCCAGAAGCACTGCAGGAAACATCGGCTAGGTGGGTCCAGGACGGGGAGTGATCCAACACGGGATTAAACTGCTCTGGGGCCCAGTCCACATTCTGTAGCCAGTCCCCCGATGACAAACTTTCAGGGCCCAGTGATACTTGTCCAGGAGAGAAGGCTTGGAGTCCTGGGTGGGCAGAGGAAAGAAAAGGCTCCCCACAAGCTGCAAGGAGCTTCTCCAGAGGTGGTTCAGCAGGAAGAGCTGGAAGTAAGGCTCTTCTAGGGGTACCCTCTCTCAAGGATGCAGGAGCCTCGGGGTGACTGACATGACCTCAGAGGGTAGCAGGGATACAGAGTGATGGAGACGCCTGGGAGAACTCCCTGGAGCACAAGTCCTGGGAGCCCGCAGGAAAGAGGGGTTAGGGTAGCCAGGCCAACAGGAAAAGAAGAGAAGGGACCTCTCTCATTCTCCACTGTTATCCAGGTGGTCCTTGTCATTGACCCGTTGCCCCACTCTCTAGAAGCACACACATGCACACGCACATGCACACGCACACATGCACACGTGTACACACACACACACACACACACACACAGTCTGTGAACCAGAGCATAGTAGAGGATTCCTTTTATGCCAATCTGGTCACTATCTCAGTCCCCTGGTCTCTGACAGTAGCTCCCATCCTTCCCTGTGCCACCTGGGACCTTACCCTGACCCAGAAATGAAGAGGTTATTATGTGGCACTGCAGGGCCAGGTCAGCCAGTGCCTACACCCACAGTTCATTAGTGCCCATTCTGGGGCAGCACAGAACCGGAACTCTCAGCAAGGGCACAGGTTGTTCCAATAAGAAACAATAAGATGTCACCAAGGAAGTCTCCTCCCATTCCCTACCTCACTGAAAGCTTCATCTCATTAACGGTGTTGCTTTAATGAGCAAATAGGGCCATGATCCCATGTGCCCACCCCACACCTACCACAGCCTATGCTGCTGTGGAACCAGTTCCTTCTGGGAGCCTTATACACACACAGCCGAGGATGCAAGCAGAGGCCTGGGGGCTCTTGCTTTCATGATATCTCCCTATGCCTTTGCAGAGTTGGCCCAGAACTACCTGAAGCTCCTGAGAACCTCTGCCCTGACGCACTATGGTGATGGACTCTCTGGGCCAGGGAAGATCTATGTTCCCCCAATCCTGCAGTGGAGCCGGGCCACTGTGTCCTTAGACACTCAGGGGGGTGCCATTACGGGGGACCCCAAGATAGAAGATGGCAGTGATGTGAGCATCCAGGACCTCTTCAACTTCAAGACCCCTAAAAGCTCGCGAGTGACAGTTCTCTTGGGGAAGGCAGGCATGGGCAAGACCACTCTGGCCCGGTGGCTTAGCCACAAGTGGGCTGATGGGCATCTGGACAACTTCCAGGCCCTATTTCTTTTTGAATTCCGCCAACTCAACTTGATCACACATTTCTTGACATTGCCTCAGCTCCTTTTTGATCTGTATTTGAGACCAGAATCAGGCCCCGATGTTGTTTTCCAGTACCTGGAAGAAAATGCCAACCAAGTCCTGCTGATATTTGATGGGCTGGATGAGGCCCTCTACCCCTGTTCCAGCATGGAGACTGTGGGGCCCAATGACACCGGTCTGGCCCTTACCCTCTTCTCCAGCCTCTGCCGTGGGACCCTCCTGCCAGGTTGCTGGGTGATGGCCACCTCTCGACCTGGGAAGCTGCCCGCCTGCCTGCCTACGGAGGCGGCCATGGTCCACATGTGGGGCTTTGACCAGCTGCGGGTGGAGGAGTATGTGAATCACTACTTCAGTGACCAGCCATCTCAGGAGGTGGCCCTCACAGAATTGCTGGCAAACAGACATCTCCGGAGCATGTGTGTGGTGCCAGCACTGTGCCACTTGGCCTGCCTCTGCCTGCACCATCTGCTCCCTGCAAGCCTCCCAGACCAGTCTGTAGCCTCCCTCCTGCCCACCATGACCCAGCTCTACATGCAGATGCTCCTTACCTGCAGCCCACTTCCTGCCAAACTCCTGGTAGGCCTCGGAGAGGTAGCCCTGAGTGGCCTGGAGACCGGGAAAGTCATCTTCTATGATAGTGACATCCCCCAACCCGTGATGGCCTTCGGTGCTACCCACCACCTCCTGACCTCCTTCTGTGTCTGCACAGGCCCTGGGCACCAGGAAACAGGTTATGCCTTTGTCCACTTCAGCCTGCAGGAATTTTTCGCTGCCATATACCTGATGACCAGTCCCATAGTGGACAAGGACATTCTTGCCCGCCATGTCATCCTCAATTCCCCCTGGGTGCTGCGGACCAAAGCTAGACTGGGCCTCACAGATCACCTCCCCACCTTCCTGGCAGGGCTGGCATCCTATACCTGCCGTCCTTTCCTCAGCCAGGTGGCCCAGCAGGATGAGACCTGGGTGGGCACCAGGCAGGCTGCTGTTGTACAGCTGCTGAGAAAGTTAGCCACCCGTAAACTCAAGGGACCAAAAGTGGTACAGCTGTGTCACTGTGTGGCCGAGACTCAGGAACCTGAACTGGCTGGTCTCACTGCCCAGAGTCTCCCCTACCAACTGCCCTTCCACAATTTTCCACTGACTTACGCAGACCTGGCTGCCTTGACCAGTGTTCTGGAGCACAGGGCTACCCCCATCCAACTGGAGTTTGAAGGCTGCCCGCTGGAGCCGCACTGCCCTGAGGCTCTGGTAGGCTGTACGCAAGTGGAGACTCTCAGGTGAGTAAGAATGAAGGAGGACAGAGAGGACATGGGAGGGAACTTGGTTTTCAGGAGAGCAGAGGCCACCAGTCTGACTAGAGACTGCATTTTGATCTTAAATGTCAGAACAGAGCAGCCCTGAGCCCTTTACGCTGGGACCCAGTGAGGCAGCTCTGTGTCTCAACAGGACTGTCAGGATCCAGCTGGAGCCTCCTTCTGCCTGTGTTTTCTGTGGCTTTTGTGGTTTCTCTTTGTTGGTCATGAATCTCTTCTGGTCCCAGTTATGCTGCTCGAGGCTGTTTGACTTTGGGCAGCTTAGATAACCTCTCAACAGGAGAGGTTGTTCATCCCTAAAATGAGTCACTTTGAGGCTGAGATAGAATAGGCACAGAGCAAAGGCTCTGTGTTTGCAATAGCTAGAGAAAAGCAAGGCTGCAATGAAAGAAACTTCCTCAGATGGAAGCGCTCATTCACAAAAATTGTATTTCTCTCATGGCAAAGTGAAAGCTAAGTCCAAGTTGGTGGCATGGTATAGGTCTACGAGGTCAGGTAGGGACCCAGGGCCCTACTCTTATGGCTCTAGCATCCCTTGTGTATTCTATCTGCACGGTCAAAGCTGAGTCATGGGTAACCTGGGCTCTGGCCTGAGGGAAGGGACAGGGTGAGAGTGGAGGCGCATTCACTCTGTTAAATGTTAGGCTTAAAAGTAAGACACATCCTTCAAAGTCACATTGGTGAGAATGTGGTCCCAGGCCACTCTGAGTTGCCTGGAAGGCTGGAAATGATGTCTCTGGCTGGAAAACCATGTTATCAGCCAACCTCTGTTTCTATAGATAAAGTACAAAGATGGGTTCTTTAGATGAAATTGTCTCTGCTGCAATCTGTAGTTGTTAGGGCCACAACTATAGTGACAATAACTGCTTCTAGATTAAACCTCATTTAATAGAGGAAACGTTGGTGATGGCCCCTGAGCCCTGATGAACACTGATCCTGGGCCACTTTGCTTCTTGCCATGCAGCTTTAAGAGCAGAAAGTGTGGGGACACCTTTGCAGAAGTCCTCTCCAGGAGCTTGCCAACCATGGGAAGCCTGAAGAAGCTGGGGTGAGCCAGGGCTTGAAACCAAGAAGGCCCTTCAGCTGAGGATGCCTGTCACTCCTTCCTTTCCTCTGTCCTACACAGGACAGATTCCTGGCCTAACTTCTGTCCCACCTGTACTCCTCCCCACCATCTTTGCTTACCCTATAGGTTAGCAGGAAGTAAGATCACTGCCCGAGGCATCAGCCACCTGGTGCAGGCTTTGTCCCTCTGCCCACAGCTGGAAGAGCTCAGGTGAGTGGTCTCCAGAAGGACTCATTCTTTGGAAGAAGGGGCTATTTATCAGCTCCCAGGTCAGCCCTGAAGCCTGAACTGGTTCTGCCTAGTTTCCCAGTACCAAATTCTGTCTTACTTTTTACTCATTGCTGAGACAAAATACCTGATGCCCAAAGTTGGGAAAGGAAAGGCTTATTTCTTACAGTTTTTGGAGGTTTCAGTCCATACTCAGTTGGTTAGAGAGCAGGGTGGCATGGCAGGGCCGCAGTTCATGGCAGCTGCAAACAGCAAGGCGGAAACTGGCAAGAGAGCGAGACAGGCCTTCTTCCTGTCATTACATTGTATTCTGGCATCAATCCAAGCTCTAGACAATGAGCCAATCACAAATGCCAAATGCAAGCACATGAGGCCTGGGGGCCACCGACATAAATCATGACGCTGATCATTGAGAGTGATCTTAGTCTTTTCTGTCTTTACCCAGCATTGTTTCCAATTAATCACCACACCTCAACTCCTTTGTCTCTCCAGCTAGGGACACAGGCAGGGCTGAGTTTTGCACCCCACTTGGTAAGTGGAAAAGGAGAAGTGAGAGAGGAGAGTGCTTGTCCTGGGGGTCTAGGTGAGTGAAGGCTAGAACTGAGGCTAGAAGTAGGACCTCCTGTATCCCTGTCTAGACTGTTCATCACCCGCAGACCGACAGACCCTGATGTGGTTGGGCCCCAGCCACATCCCCAGTACGAGTCCTGGGAGCAGGCTACTGAGTCTCATGCTACTTGATAAGACCCGTACATCTCGATCCCTTGGGCCACCAGGCAGAAACTCCCCTATGGGGACTGAAATGAAGTCAGCATTTCCTCATAGCATGTTTGTTGGACCTCAGGAAATATGTCACCCACTCTTCCTGAGTCCTTATCTTGTATCTCTGGCATGAAGGTGACCATGATGGTCACCTGCCAATTGGTGAACCCAGAGGGCCCATCTGGGGCTGAAGGATTGAGCCTCCATTTAAATACAGTTTGCAGGACAACCAGCTCAAGGACCAGGAGGTGCTGAGCGTTGTGGAGATAATGCCCAGCCTGCCTCGGCTCCAGAAGCTTGAGTAAGGAGTCTTCCACTCCCATCAGCCCAGCCCTTCTCTTGGCCTGAGTCACCCCTCCCTTGCAAACCATGGATCAGCGATCCGCTCCTGACACTTTTGCTGTAATCGTGCAGCCTGAGCCACAGCAGCTTCTCCATATCAAGCCTATTCTACCTGGTGAAGGTGGCAGTCACATGTCCTACTGTCCAGACCCTGCAGGTCAGGTGAGTAGAAGGAAGGGGATCTTCACCTTTAAGATTTTGCCAAAATGGAAAGGTGGGGGGGGGGATAGGAGGAGGTTTATAGTCCGCAAGGTCTACATATGTGTGCTCAGGTCTGTTTTATTCAAAATGGAAACTCCAGAGCCTGACTCACACCTAGGGTCTGGTAATGGATGGATGGATGGGTGCATGGATGGATAGATGGATGAGCGGATGCATAGGTAAATGGATGAATGTAAGGATAAAAGGATAAATGGAGGTGGAAATCCAGTCCAGGAAGCATAAACTGAAAGAATGGGTCCCCCGCCTGTCGCTCTCCGTGGTGCTGAAGTCGAGTCACATGTTTGGATCACCGCGTAGGTTAGTTGTGGTGCTCTTTACTCCTAAAACAATTACAGCTCCCAGCCCTTTATTTATTTTTTATTTTGAGACAGTGTCTCTTTAAATTGCTCAGATTGAGCTCCAACTTGCTACCTTCCTGTCTCAGCTTCCCAGAATGCTGTGATTTCAGGCACTTATTACCACACTCAGTTTACAACTCCTAATTTAAAACTCACAGCATTATTATTTTCTATTTCTTGTAAGAAATTGCTTTCCTGACTTTTTAAATACACTTCTGAAGAATTCAACAAGCACCTAAGATTTTGCATGCCTGAGTTGGAAAATTTTTGACAGTTCTCTTATGCTTCTTTGTCAATTATAAATCAGCTTTCACTGTTTGTGGCAGGCGAGGGCAATGTTCATGGCTTGGCTCTGACCCTTTAGGGAGGCAGACCTCGTCTTCCTTCTTTCCCCGTCCACAGAGACAGCTGAGGATCTACAAAGGTAAGGTGTCACTGCTCACATGTTATGGGAGGTGATCTGGTTCAGACAGTTGAGAGGAGCGTGACCAGGAAAGCCCAGGAAGAGCTGGAACATGGATTCTTCCTTCTCTGCCATGCCAAGGAATGAATTACTACACAGAGATGTGAAAGAACTTCCTTTTTTTGAGACAAGGTTCACAATGTAGTTCAGGCTGGCTTTGAATTAACTATGTAGCCCACACTGGCCTTGAACTCAATGGGATCCTCCTGCCTCAGCCTCCTGAGTTCTGGGATTACAACAGTGCACCACCACACCCTGTTGGGGACGGGTTTTAATTTCCCCTAAGATTTTCCCCTAAGACTGACCTCCTTCAGTCGCTATGCAGAGGGACAATCCTCAAAGGCTCAGAGTGAGCAAAACCCTGAGGCAAGACAGGGGGAGACACTGTTAGCTTGGCATCACTATATGAAGAAATTCTGGGAAAACTCTTAGAGTTGGGGGGGAAAAAGAGAGGGTAATGATGGTACCTGCATCTTAGGGTCATTGTGAGAATTACGTAAATGTTTCACGCATTGCTGACATGCAGACAGCACTCAAAGGAACGCTGTTCCAGCTCTGCCTGGATTTCCACTTTGCTATTCTCGAATGGGTGGAGAAAGGGAAACCTCTTTCCCCTGAAAGAACGTCCCTTCTGCACTCCCCACTCTTCACCCTGGTTGAACTGCATAGACAGAGGACACTCTAGGTCAGTGCAGTGGCATTAGGTTCAATCCTCAGTGCTGAAAAAAATAAAATAAATTTAAATTAGGTGAAATGAAGTCAAAATGCTCATCAGGGACATTTGCCACATGCTTCAAGTGCTCAATGACCACAGCCATGGTATGGGTGAAGAACTCTTGCTTCATCTCAGGGAGCTCTGCCAGCCAGGAACAGCCTCGGATCTGTGAAATCTGGCTATGTATCCTGGCTTCCCTGCACCCAGCTCAGCCTCCTACCACCAGGACCCACCTACACACAATTCCTGCCATTCTTCTCTCACACAGAAGCCATAAGTCATGGAAGCCACCATGTCATAGACACTGGTGGCTTCTGTTTATTAAGCTTCCCCCTTGTGCCTCTGCTGGCACTTGAACACATACCTGCTGCATTCAGCCCTTAAGGGACTCTATGTGCTAACAGTTGTCACCCACCTTGAGGAAGAGGATGTGGAAGCTCCAGTGGGTGAAGTGACTTGCCAAGGCCACATGGTTACATCTGTCGGAGGCAGAATTTGAGCAGAGGTTCCCTTTGACCTCAAATCTTCTGCTCCTGCCACTCTGCTGAATCTCACTTTGAGCACCTTGAAGCAACCATCCCTGCGGCTCACTCACTGTGGGGTGCCGCAGGGGCCCTCAGCCCTGAGAGGTCCAGAGAAAGGCCTGCTCTATCAGACCTTGGCTCCTGAGCCCAGGCCAGTATTTGATTTGTTCCTACCAGAGCTCCAGACCTACCAGAAAAAGACAGCCAGAGGAAAGAGTCCCAGAGCAGAACCCTGGTCCTCAGGTACTACAGTGGGGTCTCCTTCCTTAAGGAGAGAGGTGATGTTGGGGGAGGCTCCTTCCCAAGAGAGGTATAGCAGGGTGAGGGAGAAAGGGAAGGGCAGTCACGGGGAAGAGCAGGACATGAATAAGTCACCTGACTTGACTCAGGAGCATGTCATACAGCCAAAGCTACTGAGGAACAGGCCTTCACTCTGTGCTGGGTACAGCCCTCAGTGTTCTGTGCCCATTGCCTCTTATCAGACTTCTGGAAGCTGTAGGGAAGACATTTATTATTCCCATACGAAAGAGCAGGAGACTGAGTCTTAGATTGGTTAGTGCCTTGCCCAGGATGTCCCAGCTACTGAGACACATGCAATCCCCAGACTTGTAAGTTTCCCCTAGCCCTCAAAGCTGAAGGGGACATGACACATGTCCCTCTGCCTCCACCCCTACTCCAGGCTCCAGAAATGTCAGCTCAGGGTCCACCACGCGGAGGTCCTCGTAGAGCTGCTCCGGGAAGTCCCTCGGCTGGAGGAAGTGGAGTGAGTGACTGGGGAAGCCCTGGGGCACAAACTGGGGTGGGGCGGAGACCTTGATAGGTGGGAGTGGACTGAACTTGGGCCTCGATTTAGAAGGAGGTGAGAGGGCACTGCCCCATACAGAACATGGGGCTCCAGGTAACAAGAACACCTGTCACCATCAGTGCTTGTGCCAATGTTCTGAGAGGTTCTTGTGTGCCCATCTCAGTTAGTGCTCTCATTTCATGATGTAAGCACTGTCACTGACCACATGTTATAGAGGAGGAAGCAAAACCACGGAAGGTAAGTTTGTTCAAGATGAATCTGACAGAAAGCGAGAGGCCAGGAAGCAAGCCCAGACAATCTGGCCTGCAGCCGCATCCCCACAGCCACTGCCAGCCCTGTCCCTGAGGTCTGCAGAGAACCTCACTACACCTACTCCAGCCACTGGGCAGGGCCAAGGAGAGCAGGACGTGGGTGGGGACTGGTGGGGGTCCTGCAGCAGCAAGCAGAAACACCAGAACGACACCCGGGATTCGGAGATTTATCTACATCAATGGGCACTGATCAGGACCGTACCCAGAATATCTGGTGGTCTAGGGTTTATGTGGGACAAGCAAGCAGGAAGCACAGAGGCAAAATGGCTTGCCAAGTGGGGACTGGCTCATAAAGTGTGCATCACAGGGGCCAGCTGTTTCTAAGAGACAGAAGCCACCAGGACTGGAAGAGAACCATTACCTGAGCAACTAAGTATACTGGCTGAAGTGCATTGGCAGGGCTGTGGGGTGCCATGGTCCTGCTGTGTTTCCTGGAGGCCACCACCAGCATAGTCCAGGAAATCTTCCAGTGGGCATAAAGGGGGGACAATAGAATGCTGTTGTCGTGGGCGAGGTGGACAGGGCGCAGTCTGCCTTGGTGGTCAGCTGTTGGTTCTCGATCTTGACCCTTTGGGAGAACCAGGACGGATAGAGGACATTAAATATGTCTGCCTACCTGACCACCACCATTAAGGCTGCCCCTCCCCTGTGCCCCCACCTGAAGCAGTGAGTGTCACCCCATCTGGTCACATAGATGGGACACCTCCCAACTCCTTGGTCTTCCCCATGGTCAGCCCATCCTGGATGGACTTAAATAGCTTTCAGAACCATCTCCTCTCTCCGTTCTCTTCGCCCTCCTCACAGTCCCAACTGCTCCCATCTGTCACCTGGTTGTCCCACCAGCTTCCTCACTGACCTCTCTGCTTCACCTCCATTACCTCCACCTCGCAAAGTGAGTTGAAGTTCTGCTGGTCCTTCATTCCTGTGGCTCAAGATAGAGCCCAGATCCTAAATCCTGTGTAGTTCAGAACTCTACCCCTACTGCTCCCCAAGTCCCATTTTACTCTTACACCCCCATTCAATCTCCAGTCCAGACATACTGAGTCCCTTTTTGGTGCTTGTGTGCTATGCCACAGGACCTTTGAACATGCTGTTCCTACTATTGGAAACACTACTCCCCATGTCTCTTCTACCCCTTACCTGCTGAACTCCGAGTTTTTCTTAAAAAAAAAAAAAAAAAGCACAAATTTCAAGAAAGCCTTTCCTGACACCCCACTAGGTCAGCTGTAATCATAGAATTTATCACAAGATGCCATTGTGCCATTGCTCACCTCTGAGCAAGTGCTTTAACCATTCTGTGCCTCAGTGTATCCATCAGTAAGATGATAGGGTTGTTGTGAGGATAGAAGTAGGGTTGTTGTGAGGATAAAATGTGCGAGTTGCAGAAGCCCCCAGGCCAGTGATGGTGAGCTTTTGAAGACTGGATGCCCTAAGTGCCATCCTGAGCCCACCTATTCATCCCAGAGTCCCAGCACTGCAGTTAAACCTGAACAGCGAGGTTTTAGTTTAGAAAAAGCAACTCATACAACTCATGACATCATCACAGAGAGGGCTCTGCATGCTTGCTGGGGCGCCAGTGCCATAGGTGCACCGTCACAGCCTTAGGCCACGCTGGGTATGGTGTATGCAGCTGTCGCCTTTAGCTAACGTGAAGGTTCATGGTGGGAGTGATGCCTGAGTGGTCAGGGGCTGTGGGCGGGTGTGGGTTCAGGGGAGACCCTGTCCTTGCAGTATAGGGCAGCAGGCTCTCCTGTCTCAGCCTCTCAGGGAACCAGCTGGAAGATGAAGGTTGTCGAGTCCTGGTGGAAGCTGCGTCCCATCTGCACATCACCGGGAAGCTGGAGTGAGTTGCTCCCCCACCTCTGGTGATTGAGAGGGTCCCAGAAAGCCCCACCTGGTCCCTGCCAGCCCTGGTTCCCTCACCTGCCATTGGTAGTGACCATGCTGATCAGCCGGCCACCCTGCATTCTCCAGATCCCTCAGAGATGGTTTGACCATGCCTTGCCTTTGCCTCTGCTCTGAGCTTCTGACAGTCCCAGCTCTGTGTCCCCTCACACGTGGGGAGTCGTATTCACAGTCATTGGTGGCTTGCTTCCGTTTCATCCCTGAAGTGGGAAAGGGGTGTTACACTGCGCAGAAGTGAGACATGGGGTGCGTGGGTGTTGGGGTGTTGGATTAGGACATTGAAGTAGGAAATGGGGGTACAATTCTAGGGGTGAAAGAGTGGGTGTTGGGGTGCCGAGAAGGGAAGGAGGAGTATGAGGCTGCTGAGTATATTGTGGTTCTTCCCGGAGGGGAGACAGAGCTAGTGTTTGGATGGGAGCGGAGTGTTGGGATGTTAGGATCACACTTGGGCTGGAGTTAGAGGAGCACTGAGGTTGTGTAAATTTGGGGTCTTGGCTTTGACTCTGCCACTTATTGGCTTTATGGACCCGGGAACGTGATGGAATGTCCCCTGGCCTCAGTTTCTCTGTTTGTAAAATGGGATTCCATGGGGCTATATATGTACAAAGTCCTTAATACACAGCCTAGTCCATCAGAATCAAAAGATGGTGGTTATTGTACAGATCAGGAAACTGAGGTTCAGATAAAGGGGAGCCCTCAGCCAGTTCTTCTAGATTGAGCAGGAGAACTTGATTGAGCCCAGGGTGCAGGTCATGTGTCTCTTAGCACAGCCACACAGGCCAGGATCCTTTAGGAACCCAGGAGTGTCATCCAGTAAGCTGTTACACCAAGAGCAGCGACAGGAGCCTGCTGATGAGCCTTCTCTCCTCCTCTCCCCAGCCTCAGCGACAACCACCTCTCTGTGGATGGGGTGTCCTGTGTGCTAAGGGCTGTGAACTCATGCGAGAGCCTAGCAGAGCTGCATATCAGGTGGGACCCTTGACAGTCCTGTCACTCTCATCCCAAACTAGAGCCCTGGGCTCTCCCATCATCCCCTCTAAAGTTCTCCGAATTCTTTCTGAGCCCAGGCCTCAGGGACAGACCTCTAGAAAATATCGTTGGCACCCTGCCCGGCCCCTGTCCTGGCTGGTGCACCTCTGCCCAGCTGCCGTGGGCACCGGCTCCTCAGGTGAGCTGTGGGGCTGTTCGGGGCCAGAGACACCTGGGCGGGTTACACCAGGAGCTGCAGAGTCAGAGTAGAAAGCACAACTCTCCAGCTGTGCCTCTGCAGGGACAAACTGTGTAGAGTCCTTTGCATCCCAGAGCTCCCTGGGACCAGGCCTGGGACCTGTGCCACCCAGTTTTCCACACCCCTTTACAGTTTTCTCCTGAAAGCAATATCACATGCACAAGTGAACAAGGAGCCCCACCTAGGACAGAGCCCAACCTTATTTCCATAGGTTTCACTGTTTAGTATAGGGATCTGGGGACAAGTGTGACTCAGTGTCCATGCAGTGCCCGTTGGAGGCATTTGCTTAGAGGAAGTTCCTGCCTTACACACCTCACAGAAGGAGAAGCTGGGCTCACACATGAGGTAGACTAGAGACCTTGGTTCACGTTATATGAAGACTCAGTAAAGGCCCTAAGTGGGTCCTAAATGACACTGTGTTCACTTCTAGGAACTTATCCTAACCAAGTCGTCATGATAGCGTGAACGTGTGTAACCATAGGCATGCTCACCCAGGGTTGGTTACAACAGGAAAAACTGGAATACTATGTGCTTTTAACGCGGCAGACAGGATATTAGTTAAATAAGCTGTTACTTACAGAAAAAAACGTAACCATGCAACCATGAAAAGATGATAATAGATACATTTTTAATATGAAGGGATGACTATGGTATATTAAGTAAACACAAAACTTTTGATAATCATCTGTATAGTAAAGCTTTTCAAACATACTCAGAGGTAGAGAAAATTGTAAACTCTGTTCCCTTCAACAATGATCAATTATTACTAATTATAACTTGCCAGCCTAATTTCCTGTTTCTTGAGAGCTGCAAAAGAAACTTTTAAAAGAGAATCTGTCAAGTCTCATCTTTTAAAGAAAAAGAGTAATTACATTAAAAAGCTAGTGATCTGAAAGACCCATCCCAAAAGGTTAAGATTGATCACAGAGATTTATGTGGTGCAATCAAAATCGATGGTGAATGTTTACATACTTAAAAGTATTACAGTAAAAGACATATTGCCATGAGTGGCCCACAGAATACTCGCCCTCGCTTCCCACACGCTGATCCATCTTCGCCATTTTGTGAAAGCAGTTCTGGAAGTCTTCTGCCATGAATGTCTTCACGAGGTATGATTAAAATATGATCTAGTGAACACAGCTGCCGAGCTCCGCCCAGTGGAAAGGCAGGCTGGTGAAAAACGTCAGGACGCGTCCTTCCTCCTCCACCTGACACACCAGATCTGGCACAGGCAACTTCTGACTCTTCCAAAGGCAAAATGACCATGTAAACATTTTAAATCGATCCAGGACACCAAGGCAGCCACAGCGTCACAACTAACTAACAAGACTCACATAAGAGGACTTCAGAACTACTTCAGAAAGTGGCAAGAGCGATGGAATAAGAGTGTTTGAAGTAGAGTGATCCAAGGAGGATTCATGGCAATACCTTTAACTGTAATAAATTTTTTTAAAAATGTAAACATTCATCATTTCAACCCCATACCATACTCCGGTTATGTGAAAGCCAGCAGCCCAAGCCCAGAGTGCTTGGAGCCCAAGAACGACTGATGGACAGAGGCAGGAGGATCGCCTCCTGAGGCCCAGACCAGGGAGAAGGCAGCAGACTCTTTTCCACAGACTTGCCTTGAATCAAGGGCTTCCGTGGCAGTAGATGCATTTATAGAATCCATGGTAGAAAGACCTCAGGCCTCTTAAGCCAGAGGAAATAGGAAAAAAGAGGAAGGGCCAGCTGCTGGGCTGGGGTGGGGCTTGTTTCCATGGGGTCCCTTCACGCAGAGGTCAGACCAGGCATGGGGCAGCAGGGACAAGGTGACCTGCTTGGAACCTCTCTTCTCTCCGCAGCCTGCTGCAGAAGACGGTGGTGCTTATGTTTGCCCAAGAGGCAGATGAGCGGCAGGGGACCCAGGAGAGGTAGGACCCCCAGGCACCACTCCTCTCTGGCTCAGGTATCCTCCCTGACCTCACCTATGTGCAGCGGGGTCAGCTGCCAGGGAGGACGGTGAATTCCTGATGGAGCAGAAGTGAGGAGAGGGGACAGCGATGCAGCTTAAGGGGAGACGGCTGGAAGAGAGCGGCCTCTCTGTTTCGTGGCCTGAAGAGACCCCTGAGGTGTAGGATGTGGATGACATGCTGGGATGGGGCTGGGATTGCCAGACTGTGATGTTAGGGAGCCTCCAGCCTAAACTCAGAAGATTCCCTGGCTTGTAGCTCTGATGACGGTCAGAACTTCTGGCTCCCTTTGGCAGGAGGACACTTTAGAGGGTGTTTGCCTTCTCCAGGCTACCCTCCTGGATTGCCCCAGCCCAGTATTTGGGCAAAGATTCGGGTCTTTGCTCCTTGATGTCCTCCCACAATTTCCTCTAAAAGGTTTGGACTTTGAAGGTTTGGCTAGTGGTGGGGCTGACATCTCCAGTGTCACTGATGATGATGATAAAATTAATGGTAATAGACGCCAAGGATAATGGAGCATTTTCTATGTGTGTACCAAACACTGAACTAAGACAATTCAGATAAATATTACCTCACTGAGAGGTTGGGTGACTTATCCCCTGTCACATACCAGGCCAAGTGGGAACTGAGATCACACTGACTCCAGGCTGAGTAAGGGTTGACTGGTGACAGGTGAGGAGGGGATGGACTTTGGAGACAGGGGATCAGACGTTTGCTGGAGGGTCTTAGTGTGTGTGTCCCTGCAGGGCTGCATTTCTTGATGATCTCACATCCTCGACAGACTCTGAGCCACCCCGAGGGATCAGGTACAGTGATGGCCTGGCACATGGGGTTCCAGCTTATCCCCAAGCCTCCAGCCCCAAGCACACATGTTCCTTAGGGTCACCGTGCCCTGCAGTGTCCAGGAGCTGGGTGCTGGCTTCCCTGCTTCCTCCTTCCTGCTTAGCCCACCCCAGGCAGGACACCCCGTTGGTCACCTTCCCTGGGCTCCCCAAGCCCAAAAAGCACAAGAGTTGAAGGGACACTTAGGGGGAGAGGGTAGCCCTTCCAACCTCGCCTGGGGCCTCGCTGGGGCTCAGCCTGGTCCCTGCAGGCTTCCCACCCACCCGCCTCCTGTTCTGTGCCTCTAGCTCTGTCCCATCACCTACATCTCATAGTTTCTTTCTCTACTCCCCTTAGACTTTTTGTCTGGCTTCCTGTCTGTCTCATCTCTGACTCTCTCTGCCCCTGTGTGATATCCTGTTGATATTTGTTTATGTCGAACCCTCTTGCCTGTCTGTCTTTCTGTCCTTCTGGATACTAGATGTCCCAAGGTCCCTCTTCCCCTGGAAGCCTGTCTCTCTAGATCTGGAGTGACAGGTGGCTGTCACCTCTGTGCAACAGGCAGGTGGTGCAGAGCTGTGTATCTGCCCCTCTGCAGGCTGACACATTGCGGTTTCTTGGCCAAGCACCTAGAAGAACTCTGTAAGGCACTGGAAGGAAGCCACCACCTTGCCCGCCACGGTCACCTCGAGTGAGTGTTTGCACCTTGGTAGGCAGCATGTGGGACAATCAGAGTTCCTCAGTGTTAGTGCATTAGTGTTTCACTTTGGGGGCCCTTTGGTGCTTTTGTAGGGATTGAATCCAGGGCCTTCACACTGCGCTATATATCCCCAGCCCTTTTTTATTTTGAGGAATGGTCTCACTAAGTTACCCAGGCTGGGCTGAAATTTTCAATCCTACTCCCTCAGCCTCCCAGAGTGCCAAGATTCTATTTGATTTTTAAGATTGAAGTCAGCAGTTCTTTCTCTCCTGAAGTGAGAGAATCTGATGAATGATTCCCCCCTTGACTATGCACCCCCACCCTCTGAAGCCCACACTGATCCACTAGGAGTCCATGAATCTCACAGAACAGCCTCGATGGGACGGGCTGAGCACTGTTCACGTGGTCCAGGCTGTGTCCTGGTCTCAGAAGAAACTGGGAGGGCTAGGGCAGAGGAACCAGAACCATGCTGCTGCTGAGCCCACTGGGCCTCTGCTGACCTCTCCTTTCCCTTTTCAGCTTCTCAGGCAACGCTCTAAGGGACGAAGGGACCGCACTGCTGGCCCAGCTGCTCCCAGGGCTGGGGCCCCTGCAGTCCTTGAAGTAAGTGGCCACCTGGCAGAGCCCCTGGGGTGGTCTTCTGCAGGGTAAGTGGGAGCACTGTGTCACCTTGCCCCTCCTGGTTATACTAAAGATGCTGTGAGAAAACGCATGTGAACCTTTGGGCCCAGTCCCTGACCGGGGCAGGGTGACAGCTCCGTACAGGGCAACAGCTGTCTGTGCACATTAGAGCAAGCAACAGCGCCCTTCACAGAGACTCTGGCCTTGTGACCCAGTGACCCAGCTGTTCTTTGTGCATCTACAGGCCTCCCTGGGCCACCAAAGGCAAAGTGGCCCCATGTTCCCCAGTGTTAAGGGAACATGGGGGCATTATGGGAAAAACTGTGGAAGCCTGGGGGCATAATGATTGGTGGCCAGCAGCTCTTCTGGCTTTGGGGTTCCAGGGCAGGATTGTTTGATGGGCCTTGGGTTGGGCAGTCAGGGAGGCTTTAGAGCAGAGAGGATACCAGGCAGGTGTGGTATCCCTGGGCTCCCCAAGCCCAAAAAGCACAAGAGTTGAAGGGACACTTAGGGGGAGAGGGTAGCCCTTCCAACCTCACCTGGGGCCTTGCTGGGGCTCAGCCTGGTCCCTGCAGGGGACCTGAAGAGGCAAAGTGTTCAACATGGAAGGGAGGCCATGGGAGGAGCTCAGGCACCCCAAACCTTGCCTTCACTAGACCAGAGTTCCTGGATCCTAAAAGGCCCCAGGTGCTTTTGGCTCCGACAGCTGCTGCTTCTCCCAAGGCTTTTTGGGCTGAAGCATGAGGAACCCTAGCAAGAGGTTGTGGCTCCTAGGTTTCAGGCCAGTTCTGCTACCTACTTACTGTGTGATCTCGGGGATGTTGTCAGCTCTCTGAGCCCTTGGTCTATCTAAGGGGTAGCTGTGGCCACTGCTTGTGGCTATAGGCCTGGAATAAGGGCCACAGCCTGAGGTCCTTCCTGCTTGGACAGTGCATCCAGAGGAAGCAGACAAGGAGAGGGTGTCGCCTTTGAGCCTGCTTGGGGCTGCACTTGCCCCAGTGGGAAAGCCTTTGCTCTGCAGGCAAATGACATGCAGGTAGAATTTATGGGCTCACCCCCATGTGGTCTTCTGAGTACCCTGAGTGCTGGCTGAACCAGTGCTGCGAGACCTTGGGCTCGAGGAGACAATTTAAATGGTGAATACAAAGCCCCATGGCAGATTGGCAGAGGGACCAGAAAAGAGGAGGATCTCTGTCCCTGCTTTTTGCACAGAGGCCCACATGTCTGTTTTGCAATGGGTCCACCACTTTCTTAGGTGGGGAGATGGAGCCCAGCTCTGGCCTAAAAGCACTCTTTGGGTCCACTCAGACCAAGGAACCACTGGAATCCGTCACCAATGACCTGTGTTGGCCTGTTACCCAGTTGCACTGTGAAGTTGGGAGGGGGCTTTCTGACCACCTGGGGCTCAGTGATTCCACCATCTGGAATCAGGGCCAGCCCCACCTGCCCAGTGCACTGACGCAGGGTGCTGGGTGCCCTCGTCAGTGTCACTCCTGTGATCTCCAGCCTCAGTGAGAATGACTTATCCCTGGATGCCGTGTTCCATTTGGCCCAGTGCCTGTCCACTCTGCAGTGGGTTTGCCACTTAGAGGTCAGGTGAGTGCACCTCTCTGTCCAGCCACACCCCCCATGCCATAAGCCATCAGCTCCCGCTTGGGGCCCTCCTTTGCCACGTCTCTACCTATCATCACCTAGTGTCCTGGGTATTACCAAGGGCAGTGAGCTTGTGACAGATGCCCACCAAATGAATGATTACATGGAAAGTGTGGCCTCAGAGACCCTCTCTCTTATGCACTCCCCAGGTTGTCCTTGGATACTTAAAGGCAAGTTTGGAGCTCCCCGGTGGCCCTTAGGGACTCAGGGACTTGCCCTAATTGTGAGATCACTGAAGGTGATGAACCCTAGAGGGCAGCCCCCGCCAGCCTGGCAGCTCCACGTGAGGGGCCTCCATGGTGTCAGGCGAGCACTGCCTGCCTCCCTTTGGGGTCCCCAAGAGTAGAGATGCCATGGTAGATGGGTCAGGCTTCCCTCCTTCCCCCTTGTGGAGCTGTGGGTGGCAAGTCCTTGAGCTTGTCCTGCCTTGTTATCCCTATCTATAAAGTGGGTCTAAGAATCATATCTTCCCTTGCAGTTGTGTTGTAAGATGGCAGTGGCTAACGGTGATGGTACACTGCATATGTGCCTTGATACACGTAGATTGCTCAATTGGCTGATTGTGATAACCGCTAAAACAGCAGGCCACCTCCCAGCCCTCATGGCCTGGCCAGGCCTGTCTCTCAGGGATTTGGGGGCGGGGGGGGGGCTCTTTGTCCTTTCTCAGACAGCTGCTTCCTCTTTGCTTCCAGCTTTGAGAGCCAGCACATCCTCCTGAGAGGTGACAAGAGAGGCAGGTGAGAAGGGGGTGTTCTGGGAAGCGGGCTTCCCTTTGCACTATGGTTCACTCAGCCCAAGAATAGAGTACTTGGTAGGGGGGTCCTGGAACACTGGAATTAATGCTGCATCTGTGGCTGCCCTGCTCCCACTCGCCATGTAAGCAGTAACAGGGTTAAATTAAACCTGTCCTGGAGGAGGGCAGTGAGCATGCACAGGCGGTGGTGGCTGATTCCAGGGCAGAGCTACACTGGCACCTGCTGCTGTGTGGGCGGAACCAGGAGGGCAGTTAGGTTTCTGCCCTGGGGTGATTTCTGCCCACATTGCTCTTTACATTCTGAGAATCACACTTGAGAGCCAGGGGACCGTTGGTGCTCTGAGGAACAAAAGGGTTTCACATCTTCACAATAAACAATGAGTGGTTTTAGCCGGTTTCAGTTGCTCCGGGCTGCCCCCTAGTGGCCGCAGGTGTCCCAGTCTCACCTGGAAAGGTTGGCTGCCCAAGGGAGGAATCAGGAGGGCCCAGTGAGGCCATAACGCAGGTGGGCTGTCCGAAGTCAGGGGTTGCCCAAGGCTATGGGGTCTTACTCCTCAGGCTGGAGGTCTCTGTTTCTGAGGACCCCTGAAATCTGAGATAGAAGGAGGCAGAAGTCATGAATGCTACGTTGGTGGAACAGGGTTAGGGTTAGGGCTCTGTCCTGACTCCCCTAACCTGGTCAGGTGCTGCCATGCTGGACATGTGTAAGCTGCTGGCTTCCTTTCCTGAGCCTCAGTTTCCCCACCTGTACAATGAGGGGCTGGATTCAGATCTAGTGCCTTGGTTGTCCCTTCCAGTCCTGACTTCTGAGCATGGATCCAATGTGAATGGCTTGAACTTTCCCTCTGTCATGGTCTCCCTACTTCCAGGGACAAACTGACCGGTGGATGTTTGCCAGAATTCCCAGCAGGAGCCCAGCTATCGAGATTCCATCAGCACTGCATCCCCAGGAGCTTCTGGTACTTTCTCCCACTTCTTTCTCCGGGGAGTAACCACAATGGAGGTGAAGAGTCAGGAAATGAGCAGAGGCTGGGGCTCTAGGGTTTAGGATTGGGACAAAGGGAAAAGAGAGAGTTTGATAGAAGAAAAAAGAAAGGAGAGGGATTGTGAGGGCCAGAGCTGGGGTTCGGGCCGCTCAGTGGACCCAGGCCCTGGTCCTCTCCCTGAACAGAATCCGCATTTATTTGCAGCATGGGTGACAGCCCAGCTGCTCCTTGTATGGGGTTGACTCTGCTTTGGGATACCATTTTCTAGAAAACAGATAGCCTCTCTCCCCAAATATACAGTCAAGAAGAAGGAGAGGTGGAGGCTGTCTTTGCTAGAGCCCAGCCTGGGAGTTACAAAGTTCTTCAGCTCTGCAGTGAGGGGCTGAAGGCCACAGCTGGGTAGTGAGGTCCTCCCAGTGGGGAGAGGAGAGAGTGCTCTGCAGGATGGGTGGAGGTGGGGAGGGTGTGTCACTGGCTGGAAGGGGCCCAGCCTGCTCTGATCCTCTGCCCTGCCCACTGTCCTGTCTCAGCCTCAAGGAATGTCAGCTGCAGCCACCTAGCCTTATCCGCCTCTGCACAGCGCTGGAGAAATGTCCAGGGCCACTAGAAGTCCAGTAAGTGACAAGACACAGCCTGAAGGGCACCATGTGGGGCCCAGGAGGGGCTTCCTGGTTAGAAGCCAGGGAGTTTGTCCTTGTCCCTTCCCACCAGACCCTGCTAGCCCTCCCTGTGGGAGTCCCCAGGCTTATCAGGAGGGTGACTGTCTCCTAGTAGCTCCACCACCACCTTGGGCACCATGGTCCCAACCTTTTCCTTCCCACACTTGCTTGGGACACCCAGGAGCCCCTTCTTTCCTTGTGCAGGCACCACTCAGGCCTGCCTCTGTGCCCTGATCTCGGTGCTTTCAAAGGCTGTTCCCTAGGGTAGTCCTCTTCCTGGGGCCTCCCCCTCTCCCAGCCCCACACAGCCCAAACACCTAGACCATGGCTGAACCTACACTTGCAGTGAGGAATTCTGGCTCAGCCACCTACAAGGTGGGTGACTTTGGGCAAATGCGGTTAACTCCCTGGGTCTCACCTTTGTCAGAATGGAGTCACCTCCCTTACACCACTGTTGTAATTCTGTTGCAATAATTGACACAAAATAAAGATCTCCAAGCCAAAGCCCGACTCACCCAAGCAAAGCCTTTTTGTCACCCAGCCCGCTTTGTCCTCTGTCCAGGTGGACTCCTACTTCTTGCTCACTAGCACATCGTTTTCTCCTTCAAGTTGAGCATCCCTTATCCAAAACACATGGGGCCACAGAGTGCTTTGGGTTTGGGATTTTTTTTCAGGACATTTACATATACATAATGAGACATGGTGGGGATGCGACCCAAGTCTAAACACAAAATTCGCCAGGCACAGAGGCCTGTGCCTGTCATCCCAGCATAGGGGGGTGTGAGGCAGGAAGATCTGTGCAAGTTTGAGGCCTTCCTGGACTACATAGTGAGCCAGGGCCAGCCTGAAATGTATATCTATTCTCTGTCTCCAATAAATAATAAATAAATACATAAATAAATAAGTTCATGTTTTGTATACACTCCTGAAGGCCATTTTATACATTTTTAGTGTGATTCCATTTTGACTGGAAGCCCCTCACATGCAGTTAGGAATTTTTCCTTTCTGGTGTCAAATCAGATTTTGGATTTTCAGATGAAGGATGTTTAGTATTTATTTGAAATCCACAATTTCACTCATGTCACACCATATGTGTTTTTCCATTTTGCTACAGTGTTGTTCCTTGGTTTCTGGCTCCATCTGAACCAACCTTTCCACCCTAACCAACAGGACGATCGCGCTGACCCCCTGATGTCCTTCCTGTACTGTTCTCCATGTTTGGACACGTGACTGGAGAGACAGGGTTTTTTACATTGTTCGAAAGATGAAGGATCTTACCATGCAAGATCTCCCTGCTGCTAGCTTTTGTTTCAGAACTGTAGAATGTGATTTCCCTGAAGATCAGGCTATATGGGCCTGATATTATTTTTTTATTTTTCATGAAGTTGCCCAAACTGACTTTAAATTTTCAACTGTCCTGCCTCAGCCTCCCAAGTGGCTGCTATTACGTGCATGCACCACGCTCAGCTCTGATTCATTTTTTAAAAACAAGTTACCTTAGATTAGTTTTATTTAGAAAAATTGGAAACATTTTCCCTTTTGTCAGTACCTTACGTTGCATTTGTCATAAGGGAAAAACCAGCCTAGCTACATGACTAACTTCCCCTTTGCTGACCTTGCACGAACACCTGTTCTGCCTCCGATCCAGAGTCCCGCCTGCCACCCCACACTGCACTTAGACCTCATCCTCCTTAGTCTCTTCTGGTCGCTGATGGTTTCTCATTCTTCCTTTGCTTTTCATGTCCTTAAATGTTTGAGGAGCTTCAGTCAGATATTTTGCAAGCTGTCCCTTGGTTAAGGCTTGTCTGGTTAAAGTGGGTTTTGGGTTTGGGGAACAACACTGCAGAGGCCAAGTGCCTTTCTCGGCGCATCTTAGCAGGGCTGCATCCTGATAGTGACCTGCATCTCTTGCCAAGGCTGAGCTGAGTTCCCTCTGTAGAGCTACTTTTTAATTTAAACAGCACTTTTATTATGAAGGCTTTTAAGTATATATAAAAGTAATGAGAATAGTGAGTCCAATGAGAAAAGGACATTCAGATGCCCTCCACCTGCCTCAGTAGGTATCATGTCATAACCCTACACACATGCACACACACACACACACACACACACACACACACACACACACACACTGTGAGAGATTTTTATTTATTTTCAGTATTGCTGATTGAACCCAGGACCTTCACAATGAGCTGTATCTCCATTTCTTTTTAAAATTTTGAGACAGGGTCCCACTAAATCACTTACTCATCCAGGCTGGGCTTGAACTTGCAGTCCTCGTGCCTCAGCCCAGTACAAGTGCTGGGCTTACAAGCTTGTGCCGCTGTGACTGGCTACTTTGAGTTGTTTTGAAGCAGTTCCCAGATACCTCATAATTTTGTCTGTAAATATTTCAGTATGCATAGCAATAAGTGCTCTGTATTTTTAACATAACCACAAAATCATTAGCAGACCTAAAATATTAACAATGATTCCTTAAAATTATCAAATATCCATCAATATTTAATTGTCCCTGATTCTCTCTTGTGTGTGTTTTACACACTGTGGGCTTTTGCCCATCCACAGAGTGGGTGGGTGTGCTGCACCTGACACCCCCCACCCTGCTGCACCCCGCCCAGGGCATTTAGGCTGCCCTGCAGTGCTCGAAAGAGCTCTTCCTTATTTAACTGTTAAGCAACTACTGTACCCCACATCCTGGGCCAGGTGTGGAGAGACACGGGATGACAGGATGCTTTGGGACAGAGCTCACCTCTGGCAGTGGGGGCCTGGTGTAGAAAGCCTGCAGGCAAAGCTGGGTGGTCTGAGCACCCTTGGGTCTCAGCTGTGACTGGGAGAAGTGGGAGAATGATTACAGAAGCTCTTTGCCGGCTGTAGAGTGCCGTGACCACTCGTCATCAGTAAGCTTCAAGGTACTTACCACTGAAGTGCTGCTCGTGGCTCACTGGCTCCTGGTATGTTTCCAGGGAAGCCAAGGAGGTTGGTTCAGCTCCTGGCAGCTCCTGTTTGCCTCAGTTCCTCTTGGTGCACTGTGTGGGGTGATGCTTGAGTAAAGTTTCCATTTTTTTAAAGCCTGTAAACCCTCTTTTTAGCCAAACAGAGGTCACAGCACTATGTATTTGGGGATCAGGTGGGAAGCCCCATGCCCAGAGGTGTTATGGAAAAACCAGCCTTGCTGAAGACTGCAGGTGTGGCTTTTCTTAGGCCTTTGCTCCAGCTTGGAGGCTGAAAGGACAGAGCCAAGCCTGCAGCTGGGCCCTGGCAGAGTTGCCACCTTGGACTTCTGCTCCAGAACCATAAGCTGCTCCTCCCACTCCACCCTCCCCCACACTGAAACTGGAATCCTTCGCCCCGCTCCCTTCCCAATCAACCAGTGCAGATAGATGAGCCGGAAGCTGGGAGCCGCAGTGTGGAGAACAGGAAAAGGAAACAGGAAAGAAGGGCAGCAAAGGGCAAAGGAGAAGGCAGAAGGAGCCCATCCCCAAGGCTCTGAGTGCAGGAAATGGCTCCTGTCCCCCCCCCCGGGGGGGGCATTGTTTGTAAACCCCAGATCCTCAGAGCAGAGACACAAGGCAGGCGTCCAGTTTCCCTCTGTCCCCAGGGTTCTGTTGAATGACCCCATGAGTGACAAACTGGTGGGTCGGCTTTGATGGCCACATTTTTCCCATGCTGAGTCTCTGCTCACTTGGTCATCCCTCTGGATGAAAATGACATTTTTACACTAGATATTGAACCCAAGACCTCCACACTGAGCCACATTCCAGTCCTTTTTTAAAATTTATTTTTGAAATAGAGTCTCTCTAAGTCACTGAGTTGCCTAGGTTGGGTTCAGACTTGCAAGCCTCTTCTGTCAGCCCCCCAGAGGGCTAGAGTTACAGACTCATACCACCATGGCTGGCTTCTTTTCTTAATGAATGTGTTCCAAAGAGCATTAATCTTCATCAGTAATAATCCTGCTCATCCATTTAGTTGGGGAAACAGTCTACTATAGCCCCTTGGAAATTCGTAGCATGCAACAGCCTACTCAAGCCTCAGAGAAGTTCTGCAGAACAGAAAATGATGTCATTTCTCGAGACCCAGTCTTTTCCTGGACTTCCCCTTTTCTCAGCCCCATGATTAACTCAAGGGCCCGGTGTTTCAGGCAGCACTGGCTTGGTCCTATCTCCAAGAGGCTCTGGCTGTGAGGCAGCCACTCTGTTTTTCTGGAAGATCCCCCATGTCTTCCACTGCTTCCTTTCACAGATTGTCCTGCAAGGCCCTGAGTGACCGGAGCCTGGAGACCCTGCTGCACTGCTTGCCCCAGCTTCCCCAGCTAAGCCTGCTACAGTAAGACTGGACTTGTCCCTGTCCTGCCTCTGATGCTCTTACCCTACAAAGCCTTCCTCCTCTTTCTCCTGGACACTTATCATCTTGTCCAGCACAAACGGGAACTTGAATCTGCTTCCAGCTCTTTCCTAGCACTTTGTCAACCTCAGAGGCAGTTACTCATTCCCTCTGGGTCTCAGTTTCCTCATCTGACAAATGGGATTAATACCTCCCAGCCTCCCCCTGGGTTCTGGCCTCCCATAAGCCAATTGCTCCAAATGCTCTTAAGAATGGAACATGCATGGCCAGCAGACTATCATGGTTCTCTCCCCTGTGGAAAGGTCACCTTCCCCTACAAAGAGTCTGCATCGATACAGGTCATGTATATGTCACACTGTTTTTCAAAGGTCATCATCTAACTCCACCAGAGGGAAGAATTCGAGCAGCATCCCCCTAAGTATTTAGAGCTCACTTTTCTAATTTCAGCTCAGACTGGTTAGAATTTAGAAAGGATTTACTTTAAATATTCTTCTAGCGGGTGGGGGGGAAGCAGCTGCAGCTGAGATGGAAAAATACAACAGGAAATTAAATCATAACGTTAATATCAGCACCATAAGTACTAAGGCTGGTGCTGTCTGGGTTGCCTGGTTTGGATTGAGGGTCGCGCTTCTCCTCAAGGAAGAGAAGGATGTGCCACCATGCCAGAGGTGGGCAGGTGTAGAACGGCTCACGTGCCAACACACAGCTCCCACGTTGCCTGGAGAGCAGATCAGGAAGGGCTCCTTAGGTCACAAAATGAACACACAGGAAACTTCAGATCAGTGTGACACAGTGTCAGCCCCAAACTCCTCGTCTGTCCGTAGGAAGGGGCGACCAGTGTGACCCTTGCCAGGGCTTCAGTTTTGTGCTACTCAGCCCATGCTGCGTGTGTCTGCGGGCTAGGCACTGTCCAGGGTGCTGGAGTCTTAGCGGCGGCTCTTGTCTCCTTGGAGCACAGCTTGGAGGGCTGGGGTGAGATCAAATACGATTGCAGCCAGTGGGAAGTGCTTCTTCCAGGTGATGAATGAGTTGTTAGAGAGAAGATTCAGATGGCAGCAGATGTGGTCAGGGACATTCCTGAGAATAAACATTGAGCTGTCTCTCAAAGAGAAGATAAAGTCAGCCTTGAAAAGAGCAGGGCACACAGCCTGTGGGAAGCTCTGACTTAGTGGAGCTTGGCAGGCTCCAGAAACAGCCCAGAGGTCACGGAGGCCAGAGCTCAGTGACTGGCAGGGAGAGTCCCAGGACAGGAAGTAGAGAGATGGCCTGGGCTGGGCTCATGAGCCTGGTAACCATGGCCAGAAGCTTGGGTCTTTGTCCCAGGGAACTTGAATGGCAGAGAAATGATTTGGGTTTTTAAAGTTCATTATGACCACTGGATAGAGAAGGAGCTTGGGGACAAGAGTAGAAATGAGAGAGGGGAGGAGCTGTGTGAGCTGGGGAAAGGGAAGGAGCTGATGGTAGAATGGCTGGACTCAGGATGCATCTTCAGAGGGCATTAGTGAGAGAAGCTGATGGAGGTTTATGGGGGCACTGAGGTCACCTTTAAGGCCAACATGGACTCACCTTATTTTCTCTAAGGTATAATTTGTAACAGAGTAATTATGCTCCTTAGGGAGACATTGGACAACATATGGAGATATGTTTGGTGTTATAATGAGGGACTGGGGAGCCACTATTGGCCTTTAGTGAGCAGAGGTCTGCACACTGCCAAATACTCCGCAGGGCAAGGGACAGTCACCCATCATGGCAAAGAATTATCAGATCCCAAAACCCAATAGAACAGAGTCAGGAAACTCTGCCCAGAGGCCCTGCAGCTTCCCACTCTCTCAGCAAGGACTCACCCATCCAGTGAGCAGTTAAAGTAATACCAAGCATGGGTGTCAGGCCAGGCTGAGTGCCTGCTAAATGTAAGCAAATCCTCATATACTGGACAGGAAGGTTTAGCATTAGTCCTCTTTCCAGATAAGGAAACTGAAGCTCAGAGAGGTTAAGTGACTTGTTCAAGGCCACAGAGCCAGTAAGCACTAGTAAGACCCCAGCCCAAGACTGCTGGCCCCCAGTCCCTGTTTGTCTGTCTTGCATCTCTGCCCGTTTCCTCATGCTGTGCTAAGCTTCCATGTCCTCTTCTTCCTCTCCCTGCAGCCTGTCCTCTTTTCTTATCCTCCATCTTGCATGGCTCTGCCACTTTCCTTCTCAGGCTGAACCAGACAGGACTGTCCCCGAAAAGCCCTCTCCTACTGGCCGACATTGTCAACCAGTGCCCACGGGTTCAGAAGGTGGATCTCAGGTGGGCATGGTCCTAGGAAAACCAGGACTGGTCTTGGAGGGTTGGGTGGGGAGACTAGAGGAATGTGAGGAGGGATGAAGACAGCAGGACTTGGGCCAGAGGCGGGGCTTCTGGAGCAGGGGTGCATGCCCTGGGGAGCACCCAGTGACTCAGGTGCTGTCTGCTCCAGGTCCCTGCACAATGTCACACTGTGCTTCGGGCCCAGAAAGAAGCAGGATGTTGTGTGCTGTGGGTAAGTCCCCCCAAACCATGACTTGGCAGCCCATGGGTCTGGGGACAAAGCAGACCAGCTTGACTCAGAATCACCTGCAGGACCTTCCTCCCTCCTGGGTCTGACTCAGTGGGTTCAGCTGGGGTCCCAGGATTTTCATTGCCAGTTCTCAAGTGGTGGTGTTCCAGCTTTTAACTTTGGAGGACGACACTTTGAGAACTGCTCCCTATCCAGAAGCAGGATGTGGATTCTGAGTGGGACCTGCTGGGGAGTGGGAGCAGCAAATGCTGGCTATTTTTGGAAGACTCAGGCTTGTGTGGGGCCCCCCTGAGTTCAGAGGCACATGCAGGACCAGCCAGGATGGAGGTGGCTGGAACTCCCCCTCCCTGGCTCACCCCTCACTGCCCTGCAGGTTCACAGGCTGCAGCCTCCGCCAGGAGCATGTGGAGCCACTGTGCCGGGCACTGAGCAAGTGTGACAACCTCTACCAGCTGGAGTGAGTAGGGGTCATGTACCCACCTCTACCCCTAGGGTCCGCTCTCAGGGCAAACAAAATTCTGGCCACATCCCTCAGGCTTCTCTGTATGATTGTCTCTCCCCCTCTAGTTTCCACTCCCACAGGGACAGAGCTAGTTTTCCACTTGCCCTGCTAACCTATGCAGCTTCTCAGAAAGGGTCAAAGGCCCTCTCAGCCTTGTGCTGGTCCGTATGTCCAAGCTTGCAGGCAGATGGGGGCTATGCACTACAGTGAAGGATCCATTGGCTTCCCAGCAGGTGGTCATAAGTACCAAAGGGCCTAGTTGAGGAGGGACCTCAGTTGGGCAGGGTGAGAACTTGGGGACCTCTATCCCTGTGGCCTCTCCTGGAGCCCCAGAGTACGGACCCTACATGGGTAGGAACATTCTAACATTCTAAGGAGCACCTTCTCCACTATATTAAGTGCTTTCTGCATTTTTTTTAATCCTTTCTGCAACCGTAGATATTATTATGCCACCATTTTACAGATTAGGGCATTGGGATGCAGAAAATTTAAGAACTTGCCTCAAGTCACACAGCTAGTACAATGCAGTCTTCACTTATGAGTGTTAGGATCCAGCCTAGGATGGTTGGGAAATAAAGGATCTGGCTATGGAAAGAAAGAAGTGGAGAGAGGGAGTGAGACAGGGAGGGAGGAAAGAAAGAAGAGAGAGGAAGGAAGGAAAGAAAGAAGGAAGGTGATAGAGGGTTTAAATTCTTGTTGTGCTTTAGCCAAGAGATAAATGTGGCAATGAAATCAGGAATTTTGAAGAAAGATGAATGAGCCATATGATATGTCTCCAAATTTTTCTGTTTTTCATTGTAGAGGAATTTTTTATTTTAAAGGTCGTGTTATTAAGTGGTTTTATGAGACAAAGCCATTTTTAAATGAAACATCTCAGGAAAAGATAAAATAAACAAGCATCCAAAGTACAAAGATGTAGGAGGAAATTCAGATGTTGGGGGCACGCTGGTCATATTGTTTCTGAAATTGTAGCTGAAGTGCAGAACACTACACGGAAGGGAAGTCAGAAAGTATTTGGAGACAGCTTCAGATAGATACCGAGCTCCCCAATTAAAAGAATAAATCTGTTGAGTGAATGCGTTCTCCAAACTCTTTTTTTCCTGAATTTATTCTTGTTCAGAAATTGTGGGTCCCCATTGATGCAGGCTGGGGGCAGAGGCAAAGCTATTTGTTTTTTCTCTAACTCCAGAAGGCCTGTTGGAGTGCTGGGAGCCCACAGCTTCTGAAGGGGGAAGATGAGGACTGGTTTACTGTGATGCTGGCCAGGGGACAGTAGTGGACGATGTGGGAGCTGGTAGTGATACCAGCAAGGAGGGAAAGGATGGTGGTGGTGATGGCCACAGTGATGATTTGGGTGGTGCTGGTGGTGCTGACGGCATGGTCAGTAGCAGTGACAGTAGATCCAGAAATGGGAACCATGAGGAGCAGGCTGAGCCCAAAGAGACACACTGACCACTGCCAACTGCTCCTTGTCTCTTACAGCCTAACTGCCAACCTGCTGGGTGATGACGGGCTCAGGTGCCTTCTAGAGCACCTGTCACAGATGCCCATCTCTGGGTTGCTTGAGTAAGTGGGGAACAGCCTGGAGATAGGAGGGATGACGCCTTCCCTGGGCCTCTTTAAAAGTGCCCCTAGAGAAAGAACCCCAGGCAACAAAACTCTGGGAGAAAAAGGACTATTCTTACCTGGACTTCACACACACACACACACACACACACACACACACACACACACACACACGTGTGTGTGTGTGTGTATGTCCTCTCTTCCTTCCCCCATGCCCGCCATGGGCAGATCCTCTGCCAGACACTCAACAGTGTCTATGGCTTCAAGCAAGCTGACC